AAATTGTCTTCCATGAAACTGGTCCCTGGTGAAAAAAGTTTGGAATCTGCTCCTTTCTAAAGAATATTGTGCTCAGTCGCTCAGTCATGTCTGACTCTTTGCAACCCCATGGACTATAGCCCGCCAGGCTCCTCTGTCCATGGAATTTTCCAGGCAAGAATACTGGAGCAGGTTGCCATTTCCTTCTGCAGGGGCTAAAGGCTATTCACGGAGTATTAATTTGGAGAAGTGAGTGAGTGCTGCTAAATCCACCGCATCAGTGGAGTAGAGGTCATCTGCGGAGCTTCCAAAGGGTTACTGTGAAGACTAGAACACCCTCTGGCCCATCTCCTTGCAAACCCCAGCCCTGGAATAGAATCATGATTTCCCAGTGCTTAACACCGTTCTCAGATGTGAGATGTGGCCTTTCCAAAGAGTCTATTCATCTAGCTGCACAGAGACAAATCCTTGTCCAAAGGCATGAAAACCACTTAAATACCATGCGCAGCCCACAGAAACCATCTCCATACACAACAAAGGATGTGCTTTGACAAATTCTTTCAAGAGGCAAAGCATGAGGGCTGGGAGAAGTTAACGTCTGCCATCCAGGCCTTCATGGAGAATGCACACGGCCAGCAGCAGCCATGTCCAAATACCCAGAAAAGATATGACCCCTACCTTCTAAAAAGTTCTGTATCACATAAAAACAAGCCTGGAGATGATCAGTTTTGCAGAGTAAGCATGACCTTCTCCTTTTGTCTCTCTTCCATTCTCATTCTACTTTTGACTTATTTGTGGAAAGTTATAATTAGATCGTGATTTGCCTTTTTTTTCTTCTTTTCTTGAACTGATAAAGTGCCGTGAATCCTGGACAACATCCATGAGTGCAGTCACTTATGTATTTTGCTATTTTTTTGCACATCGCACCATATGCAGGCCCGGCAGAGAGGCATGGTTCCGTATTGCTGGCATGCAGGAGAGCCACTGAAAGATATCATATGGTCTCCTGGCAGAAGTACAAAGTGCCTCTTGCTGTTTGATCTACTGTCTTAAACTGAAATGCAGAATCTGATAATTGGGTCAGGCAGGAGAAGAGACTGAGCGGTAAAGTTCTTTTCATTTCCTTTTGCTATTTCATCTTTTCTCTGCTTTATTTATTTACTTATTTATTTATTTATTTTTTGCCTGCTTTTTCTCCAGACTCCCTCTCCCTTTTTTTTCCCTCAGCCTCTGAAGGAGACAGATTGCCTTGTGAATAGGCTGGATTCAAAGAGGAGGTGGGTTTATGGCCAGAAACCCGTCAGAGGGTCTCCAGGCACCTCCGTCAGGTCCTCGCTAGATGCGTGTTAGATTTTTGCCCCGTTAGCAACAGTCTGGATAACCATCTTGAGCTTTGCAGAAGCCAAAGTCATGGCTGGGGTTTGCTTGTTTAGAAATATCACTGCCCTTCCAGACTTGGATTTGTTTAATGTAAAAGGAATTCATCGGAGTCTCACTGGCTTAGGGCATTAAGCAGACAGAGGCTTGTACTTCAAAGGACACATAGGAGATAAATGAAAACTGAGCCTCATCCTCAGACAGGAGACTCTCATACAAAAGGTCTGACTTGGAGCCCTCTGCTCAATTGTTCTAAAAAGGGAAAGAGAAATTTTCGTTCTCGATTTCGCCACTCCAAGACCCATTGCAGGATTGACTGTGCGGTTACGGAATTGTTTTAGCTGGATGTAAACCCAAATACGGCCTCTTCCTAATATATACAAATTTAGCCCTCACTAAGGAGGGGACAAATTTGGAAGTGACAAAAGTATCAGCCTTACTTTTTCAAATCACAAAGGGCAACGTCTCTCCCTTGGGTGAGTCACTAAAGGTTTTCCCAGGTCAGGCACCCTCTCACTGGGGTACATGCTTCATGGACATCTTGCAGCAGTGTTAGAATGTTCCAGAAACTTCCTTCCCATAAGACAACCTGGGATTTGGTGAGAGGGGAGCCTGCAAGCAAGTCATCTATCTCTCTTCATGTGTGTGTGTTCAGTTGTGTCTGTCTGAATCTGTGGCCCTGTGGACTGTCACCTGCCATGCTCCTCTGTCCCTGGGATTCCCCAGGCAAGAATACTCGAGTGGGTTGCCAATGGCTACTGCAGGGGATCTTCCCAACAAGGGATTGAACCCGTGTCTCCTGCGTTTCCTGCATCTCCTGCATTGGCAGGCAGATTCTTTACCACTCAGCCACTGGGGAAATGCGTCTGTCCTCATAAGCACCCCCATACCGATGCTGTCAGCTGGACTAATCATGAAAGAACATTCTAGCAAAGAGCATCTTGACCTTGAATAGAAAATGGAGTCCTGGGAGGCCACCTGAATGGATTTTGCATCTGTGAGGACGTGGAGTGTGATTCCTCCTCCCACAGTGAGCCTGTCCACTAATGGCTCCACAAGCCACTGCCTTCAGAGGGCCCTGTCCCAGGTGCAAACCCTTCAGAGGGTAAGGCGAAAGGGTCCTTTTACCCAGGACCTCAATTTCTAAAGCTTCCCAGGGTCCCTCCTGCTTGTCCCCTCCTGCCTGGGACTTAAGGGTCCCTGCGGAGGGTTATGTTTTTGTAGAAGAGTGTCCAAAGCAGCAAGCCACCCAGAGTCGTGCCAAGAGCTTACAACCAACTCGCTTGCTCAGATATGACAGGCAGGCCAGGACACAGCCCTGGATGCCCCTGCAGCCTGCCTCCTGAGGCTGTCCGGGACCTGGAAAGATGACACAGAGCTACATCCAGGGTGTAGGAGTGGAGAGGGAAATTCGGCAGCCCACCAAGGTGGATCGATATTTTTCACCCTGGACGTTCAGGCTCTGGGAAGAGAGGGCTTGGCGCAGAGGAGCAGTGCATTTATTCTCTGGCTTGTTCAGACTCAGCAGCTGCATTTCGGAGGCCTCCCAATCGATTCTGATCTGAATGGAAAAGAGCCTGTTTCTCCAGAACAGGCGTGACACAGTGAGTTTGCGGCTCCCTTGAACGGAAGCTGCCTTAGAAACAAACGCCTGCAGTCCTAGGGCTTCCCTGGTGACTCAGTGGTAAGGAATCCACCTACCAGTGCAGGAGGCGTGGGTTCAACCCCTGGGGAGGGAAGATCCCCTGGAGGAGGGCATGACAACCCACTCCAGTAATCTGGGCCTGGGAAAGCCCATGGGCAGAGGAGTCTGGCGGGCTGCAGTCCATGGGGCTGTAAAAACTCAGACACAGCTGAGTGACTAACAACAGCAAACTGGGAGAGCGCAGCCTGGTTCTGGAAGTCTCCAAGTGCAGCCTTTCAGTCCAATATTTAGGATGCTCCCAGGGTCTCAGAGGGCAGCAGTCCTAGCGTCCGTTAGTCACCTTGCCATCACTAGGACATCACGCCCTGTCATTTTACGTAGACTATGTGTCACTTCTCACCACGATGGGGCTGGAGAATCTTTTCATCTAAAACACTGAATTAGACCTGCTCAACATAACACCAGAAATGACTGTTGTATGCTCCCATGCACGCCTACAAAAGGCTGGATTTGCAACAACACGGGTCCCCAATGGTTCAGGGGCTTTTGGAGGGAGTCAGCCACCCCGGCTCATTCCAACACATTTATGGGAGAGACAGATGGGCTACTACACTCACAGTGGCCCAGTGAGAGGGCTCCACCAACCACTTCTTCCATCCAACCCAAAGCTCAATGCAAAAGCAAAACACAAATTTTTTTTTAAAAAATGAGGATTTGTAAATTTGCTTTCATTACACCCGTAAGATTTTTTTTTCTAGTTACTGAAGAAATGAGATGGTTATCTGAATGTGTTTGTAAATGGGCCCCTGCTTTCTAGTCTCCTGCTCCTCCCCTTCCTCACCTCCTCCACATGCTTCAGGGATGAGAACCATTTCCCGTAATCACAGTTTTCTTGTTGGTAGCCTCCATCACGACGAAAAGCGAAAATCGAAAACTCTTAGGTGGAAATTAATTTAGAAACAACATTACCACAATCTTTGTATGGTGTGTGTAACCATAATAGCCATTTCAGTGGGGAAAGCAAAAATAAATAGAAGGTCAAATGACATTAATTTCCATTTGCAGCAAACCCATAATTGGATCAATTATCAGATCCTCGGGGAGAAAGTAGGTTGTCATTGATTGGTGGGTGACGCCCACATGGCATAGAAGGAAACGCATGTGATGATGTCCATTGAAACTGGAAGGAATGGGGAACCCAGTGGGACTGGTGGTGACCGCCCCCCACCCACCCAGGGCTTCCTCTAGACTGCAGAATGGTCTTTAGACTGAGGCATCCACTTCTCCATTCATTGATAGATGGCTTTGGGCAAGTTTCTTGACCTTTTAGGGCTCGATTTTCTCATCTGCTCATTGGAGGTTCTAAAAGTACCTACCTGGGTGGGTTGTAATGATTAGACAAGGATTAAATACGGTTGTAAGGATTAAATCTTAGGCAAAATCTGGGAGATGGTGAGGGACAGGGAGTCCTAGCATGCTGCAGTCCGTGGGGTTGCAAGGAGTCAGACACAACTTGGCGACTGAACAACAATAAAATAAATAATACACTTAAAGTGGTGCATGGTACTTGGCAAACTGAAAATGTTAGCTAATTGTTATTATTATGTCTTCTTATTATTATTTATTATCCAGGAATCAACAGTAATAGGAGTAGGTTTGGGCTGAGAAAATGCAAATCCAAATTTAAGCTCTCCTGTTTTCTGACCATAATATTTTGGGCCAGTAAACTGAAGCCTCAGTTTCCTTATCTACAAAATGGGCCTCTATCAGTTTGCCTAGTGTACTGACCAATGACATTGAATAAGAAATGGGAAAACAGTGTGTCTCTGAACCCGAGTTCTCAGAATTCGCCTTTCTGCTGGGGACCCTGGAATTGCCGCAGAGGAGAGAGCTCCAGCAAGCCTTCCTGAGACGTGACTGGCCCGCCCCTGCCCTGGTGTGCAGGAGCAGGTTTGCCCCATTTCTGCACGGATTTCCTGAGCTGCTATCCACAGGACACATGGGTGTCTCCAGGTGTGACCCTCCAAGGATGTTCTTCCGCTTCGCTCTGCAGCGTGAGGTCAGGTCAGAGAGCGGTGAGGAGCAAGGTAGACACTTCATCCGGAAATGCCCCAGATCTCAGAGAGGAGACCCAGACCCGGAGGACGCCCCTGCCCTAGTGCGGGTGTGGATTCTCGGTGTCTCGAGTTTTTCATCCAAAGAGCCCCGTAGCTGGTGACTCTGACCACCAGGAGTTCTAGGGAGGAAATAGGGCTCCACAGAAAGTAAACAAGAACATTCAGTTCTTTATACAAATATTCTCAAAGAACACACCAAAAATCCTTCCTCCCCTCCCCCTGCGGATGCGGGTGGAGAGCTTTTCCTTTTGCGCCCTTACAAATATCTATGCCTTTGCTCTCTTCTCCTAATGTCTTGTTGCCCCGAAAGTGGTGCCTTCCTAAAAACTGAAGTACCCGGCCCTCTGCAGTGGAGAAAGTCTAAACCAGAGGAAGCAAGCGCATCGGAAGCCAATGAAAACACACCAGATGATTTTTATTTTAGTTTCCTGATGGGTCTGTTACCATTTTCTGAAAATTTGGAGATGAAGCATGGAATCTAGACTCAGATTGGTATGCACGGATGTGTTTGTGTGCACAAGAGAGTGTGTGCATGGGTCAAAGCACATGTCAAGGAGTATGTGCGTGGGTCTGTGTGTGTGTGTGAGGATAGCGGTGTGGGTGTTGCATGTGCGTGGAAGTGTGCATATCTATAAGCCTGTGTGTGTGTGTCTGTGTGCGCACACGTGTGCATGTGAATGTGCATTGTTCAGTCACTAAGTCGTATCTGACTCTTTGCGACCCCATGGACTGCAGCACACCAGGCCTCTCTGTCCATCACCATCTCCCAGAGTTCACCCAAGTTCATGTCCATTGAATTGGTGATGCCATTCAGTCATCTCATCCTCTGCCGCCCTCTTCTCCTTTTGCCTTCAATCTTTCCCAGCATGCATGCCCACAAAAACCATGAGTGGGAGTATATCTGAGTGTGCATGTGTGTGTGTGCAGTGAGAGCACTCTGGGTGTGGACTCTGTTCCATCCATCCATCACGCCTTCAGGAGAATCCGAAAGAGACTCGAGACCTCTAGGCATCGATCGTAGACAAGGGGCCCGAGGTCAGGAGAGGGGCGGAGATCGCCTGATGGCAGAGCTGGTTTGAGGCAGAGGTCTGATCCGAGAGCAGCTGCCTCTTCCAGCTCCTTGCGCATCGCGCTCCTTTTCCTTTCTCCTTGCTGACCTCTGAGACGCCACCCCCTCTGGGCTGTTTTCTCACCTCCCTGCATGTTAACAGTGTGTTTCTCCAGTCTGTAGTCCAGGGTGGGCAGTGAAGCACTCTGAACACCATGAGGGCCACAGCCTCCCCACCTGGGTCTTCGCGGCCGCTCACGGTGGCCCCAGGACCCTGCGCCTCATGGGATGGCTCTTCTCTGTGTTTCCCCGCAGTCCAGGTGCAGAGACCCTCCACCATCAGCCATGTGAGCACAGGATCTGGAGGGAATGAATGAACGAACAGCAGCCCAGCTTTCCATCTTCGTAGCTAACCTTTATTGATTTGAGCTAGAGGAAAGCAGGTTCTGAGAATATTCAGAGGCGGAGGGCACAGCTCGGGGTGCCAGGCTCTGCAGAAAAGTGGGTGTGTCTTCCGCGCAGGTGCTTAGTGAGAGTTCCTGCCGTGATGCTCTGGATCACGTGACTGAGATACTAATGCAGTGAGACACAGTCCTGCCCTCAAGGGGTCCACAGTCTTACAGATGCCAAACGCGCTGTCATCTGGACTCTCAGCCTTGACTCCACATAATCCTTTGTGGAGCTTTTCAGAAACACTGAGAGCCAAGTGCTCTCAGTGTCAATAGGACCCCTTGTTTCTTTTCCTCTGTTTGCAGGGGCCTCTCCTGAGGACCACAGGGCAGGCACAAGGTTTGACTGGCAAAGCACAAGAACCTATATTCAAATATCATCCCCACGGCCGCGCCATCCAAGGTTGTAGGGAGAGTGACAACTGTGGGTGAATTTCATTTGCTTCTCAAAAGAAACACCACGCTCTCGACTCCTAATCACCCTCTTTTAGATGGTTGCAGTAGGAATGTGTATGTCTGGGGCTGAGGACATGGAATGTTACCTAGTGCTTAAATCTGGATTGGGGCCATTTGGCCAAAATCCTTTGGCTTGGTTGTCCAAACTGAAGCATAGCCTCCAATCACAGCCACCGATGCAATGGACATGAACTTGGGCAGACCCCGGGAGATGGTGAGGGACAAGAAGGGCTGGCGTGCTGCAGTCCATGGGGTCGTGAAGAGTTAGGCACGACTGAGCGACTGAATAACAACAACATAGCCTCCAAGTGCCAGAGAAAAGCAGTAAAGAAATAAACACTAAATAGCACTAATAGAGCCGTAGAGAGATGTCAACTCTTTGTAGTTAAAGGAACGTGGGGGCAGGATATTTACCTCATTTGTGCAAATTTCTAAGCTCTCTCTTTACCGGCTGCCTGATGACATTTGTCTCAAATCTCATCAAAAAGGAAGAGCTAATCAGAGCCTTAAAAGCAGAGAAAGAAATTTCTTTTGGTCAAACAGAACATCCTGTTTTGAGTCCCAAGCAAAAGCTCTTAAGTCAAAAACGGTGCTCAGCCTTTTGCCTTTGGCAAAACATAGCCTCTTCTTTCTAAATGTTTAAAAATGTTTAGTGGGAGCAGAAAGTGCAATGAACTTCTTAAGACATCAAAAAACTATAAATTAATAAAACACATAAACAGAACTTCCATTAAACTGGGCAAGAACTTTGAAACACAGAAAGAGGCTTACTTAGAGAAGGACACTGATTCAGAAAGATAATTTGCTGAGAAAAGACCAAGTATGCCTGCCCACCCCTTCCCCCATTTCTCACAGAAGGTTTACTTAGGAAGGATTATCATCTGTGCATCATGACAAAAGTTATTGCTCACTGCAGAGACTGACATAAAAAGGTGATGTAGATTCACACCATTATCAATAAAACCCAAGAGTTACCTTGAAATCACCTATATCACCCACTAGTACCATTGTCAAGGAAAATTTCAGAGTTTCAGGATAGCTAAATATCAAGATGAATCACAGAAATGTCACCCAAATTTTTCATCACTTATCATCATTTATGACTCTCTGGAGTGGTCAATCAAAACATGGAAGAAGCATATGAATTTCCTTGTTTCTGTCTTTTTTACTTTATTATAAAAATTATATTCAATTATAGTTGATTTATATTATTGTACTAGCTTCAGGTATACAACATACTGATTCAATATTTTTATAGACTATATTCCATTTAAAGTTATTATAAAATATTGGCTATATTTCCTGTGCTATATAGTATATCCTTGTAGCTTACTTCTTTTATACACAGAGTCTTCTACCCCATGCCCCTAACTCCTTCCCTCTCCCCGCCGGTAACCACTGATTTGTTCTCCAAATCTGTGAGTCTGTTTCTGTTTTGTTATATCCAATTGTTGTTTTTTAGATTCCATGTGTAAGTGGTAACAGACAGTATTTGTCTTTCTCTGTCTGACTTATTTTACTAAAGCATAATACCCTTTAAATTCATTCATGTTTTTGCAAATAGCAAACTTTTATTCTTTTTTATGGCTGAATAATATTCCAGTATATGTATATGTATGTGTGTGTGTGTGTGTGTGTGTGTGTGTGTGTATACATATATATATATATTACATATTCTTTATTCATTCATTTGCTGATGGATACTTAGGTTGCTTCTGTATCTTGGCCATTGTAAATAATGCTTCTATGAACATGGAAGTGCATGTATCTTTTTGAATTAGTCTTTTTGCTTTCTTTGTATGTATACACAGAAGTGCAACTGCTGGATCCTATGGTAATTCTTCTTTTAGTTTTTTCTGTAACCTCCATACTGTTTTCCATAGCCATTGCATCAACTTAAATTCCCACCAGCAGTGTCCTGGGATTCCTTTCTCTCCACATCCTAACCAGAATCTGTGATCTTTTTGATGATAGCCATTCTGACAGGTTTGAGGTGATATCTTGTTGTGATTTTGATGTGCATTTCTCTGATGATTAGCAATGTTGAGCATCTTTTCATCCATACTTGTCCATCTGTATGTCTTCTTTGAAAAATATCTATTCAGGTCTTCTGTCCATTTTTTAATTGGGTCATTTGTTTGTTTGTTTTATATTCCACTGTTTGTGCTATTTATATATTTTAGATATTAACCCCTTATAAGTCATATCACTTGCAAATATTTTCTGTCATTGAATAGCTTGTCCTTTCATTCTGTCGGTGGTTTCCTTTGCAGTGAAAAAGCTTCTAAGTTTAATTAGGTCCCATTTGTTTATTTTGGGCTTTGTTTCCTTTGCCAGATCCAAAAAGTATGGCTATGATTTATTTTTGTATTTGGTATGAAAATTTTTCTAATTCTATTCTTTTACATATAGCTGTCCAGTTTTCCCAGCACCACTTATTGAAGAGATTGTCTTTTTCCATTATATATTCTTACCTCCTTTGTTGTAGATTAATTGCCCATAAGTACAGGGGTTTATTTCTAAGCTTTTGATTCTGTTCCATTGATCTATGTGTCCATTTTTTGTGTCAAATCATGCTGCTTTGATTACTATAGTTTTGTAGTACATTCTGAAGTTAGGGAGCATAATATTTCTAACTTTCTTCTTTTTCCTCAAGATTGCTTTTGCTTTTCAGGTCTTTTATGGTTCCATACAAATTTTAGCATTATTTGTTCTAGTTCTCTGAGAAATATCATGGATAATTAGATACATAGTGTTAGTCACTCGGTAATGCCCAACTCTTTACAACTCCACGGACCCATCAGATTCCTCTCTCTACTGAATTCTCCAGGCAAGAATACTGGAGTGGGATCTTCCCAACCCAGGGATTGAACCCAGGTCTCCTGCATTGCAGGCAGATTCTTCACCATCTGAGCCACCAGGAAAGTCATCGGAATTGCATTGTCTGTAGATGGCTTGCTTTGGATAGCACAGAAATTTTAACAACATCCAATCCATGGATATGGACTATCTATCCTTATTTCTTAAAACTCATTAGGTTTGGGGCTTCCCTGGTAGCTCAGTTGGTAAAGAATCCACCTGCAATGCAGGAGACCCCGGTTCGATTCCTGGGTCGGGAAGACCTGCTGGTGAAGGGTTTGGCTACCCA